ATCATGATATAGTCCGAATCGTACAATCGACTCTGCTTTTTGCAGATATTTCTTATGAAAACAGAAAGGGATTTGTAGCGTTTATTTACATATGACAAATTGATTTAAAAATTCTTAACACACAATACCAAAATAAACTGTTCATGACGTTAATAAAGAAGTTTTAAAATGTTGGGATTGGTGGACTTATAATATCATCTAATGTACCATAATATGAAACACTAACCACATACAATAACCACATACACTATATATATTATGCATAGCTGGTTTCATTGCTTTTGGTGTTGAACCTTCAAAGTCTACGAAGATATTGTTTTACCTTGATAAAGGCCAGACACTGTGCGTCAATGTTAACGTAGTTCTCTTACAACCTTTTTAAACTTTAGTTTATTGATTGTGCAGACAACTCATACATATGTGAGGTTCAAATGTCACCTAGCTTGGGCATGTGCTTTTTTTTTGCTTTTTTGTTATTCAGTCATGTACCACAGGATACAGATACAGTCGAATAACAGTACAAATTCATGTAAAAAGGTAATTCTCAAAAGGATGTGGTACAGAGGAGGCATAAGGCATAATACACAGTATGGTACAGATGAAGGCATATATATGTATACAATTCAGAAGGTGCTGTATTTATGGTACATCAAATTATGTTGCAAGCATGAAGTGAATAAGTTATTTTACAAGTTGAGTAAACAAAGCCCATTTTCTGTTAAAGGCAGAGAAGTAATTATTTCTACGTGCAATATGATACTTCTTATTGCGTTCTTAAAAGCAACAAAGTCAACATTTTCATTCTTAATACACTGGACAAAGATAAATATTTTAGCAGCTACAATCAAATGGTTAATTGATACATCAGAGGTACCAAAAAGGAGCTCGTTGTCAGTTATATGAATTTTTCCATGCAAAATATGAGTCAAGTAAATACAGAAATCTGACAAAAAATTCTTAACAATATGACATTCAACATAAACATGAAAAACATTTTCTTTGTGAGTATGACACATACAACATTCATCGTTATCAATAAGTTTCATTCTTAATAACTCACGTTTAGTAAATATTACTTTATGAATAAATCTTAACTGGAAGTCCCTGAGTTTTGTGTCCCTTAACCCATGGCATGTCCTAGCTGATTTTCCCATTTCAAACAATATTAAGGGAGAGGGAGGGATCTCCCTATCAGTTTATTATAAAAAACTTTTGTTCCTTTAATAGAACGTGTAAGATCATAAATCCAAGGAGATACTGTGAGGTTAGAGGAGAAATGGAGATTTTTATCAATATTTTGTCTCCACTTTCTTGGAATATTAAAAAACTTACGGTTATAGTCGAGAAAAATTCCTTGAAGATCATAAAGTTGTTGTAAACGTGGGAAAGGGATCCATCCGTTTTCATCATACAAGTCTTTTATCGTAACTATACCTTTTTTAAACCAGTCATTAGAAATTAATACTGGATGTCTAAAGTAATGGTTTAACCATATGGGTTGGGAAGCAATTTCTGCATTTTTTAAGTCTTTAATGTCATATGAATGCATAAAGTCACTCCAGGCTATAAGGGTATCTTTCCAGAAAGGATTTACAATTTAACGATTCTTGTGCAAACTGCCACCTAAAGTGTAGATATGAGCTAGCTGAAAACTAGCAAGGTCATAATTAATGTTTTTTTCGCAATAACTTTTTGAACATGAAATTTCCAAAGATGATATAAATTTTGGTATATCAGTCATTTTCAATCCACCTTGACTATAATTCCTTTTTAGAAAATCCCTCTTAATCTTATCTCTTTTGCCACTCCAAATAAAGTTAAAAAGAATTCTATTCAGTTGATCAATAAAAGCTTCTGATGGATTTGGGAGAGCAGAAAAAATATGTACAAGGGTAGAGAGAATTAAAGTCTTAACAACTGTTATTTTACCCACCAAAGTCAAATTACGTTTTTTCCATTTGCTTATAATACCATAAATATTATCCAGGCGTTTTTTAGTGTTGATTACCCAACGGTCTTTTAAGTCAACAGTAAAACATATGCCCAAAACTTCAAAGTTGCCATCATGCCAATCTAGCTTTAAGTTAGGACAAAATCGGACTTTACCACCAGCCATACTGCCTATCCATATTGCTTTGGTTTTTTCAAAGTTCAATTTTAATCATGAGATTTTGTAAAAAGTTTCAAGTGTATCCATGGCTGATTTTTATGATCTTTCCGAGCCATCTAAAAAGAGTTGTGTGTCGTCAGCATATTGGCCCAATGTGTGTTCAATATCGTGTAGAAGTATACCTTTTATACCTTCATTATTACGAATCATGATACTGAGAATTTCAGCAACGAAAAGAAACAAATAGGGGGAAATTGGGTCACCCTGTCTGCAACCCCTTTCATTCATAAAAAATTCAGAGAGGTGGCCATTTTGGACAATACAAGAAGAGGCATTAGATATGAGTATATGTATATGTATCCATTTAATCATATTTGGCCCAAAGCCAAATTTTTCCAGAACGAGGAAAATAAAATCTTTATTCACGGTGTCGAACGCTTTCTCAAAATCAATGAGTATCAACTTACCTTTTTTGTCAAGTCTCTTAGTTTCAAAAATGATATCGTAAAGTAATCTAGTATTTTCACTTAAACATCTCCCAGGGATAAATCCGTATTGATTGCAATGAAATAATTTGTTTAAGGATTGCTTGATTCTATTAGTAATACAAGAGCTTAAAATTTTATATACAGCATTTAATAAAAGTAATGGGACGCCAATTGTTTAATCTTTTTCTATCTTTATTTGCTTTTGGAATGCAAGTAATCATGCTCCAGTTCATAGTAAAAGTCAAAGAGTTAGAATGATAAATGGGATTGAAGTATCTCCATATCCAGACTCTTAAATCTTTCCAGAAAAATTTAAAGAAATCAATTTGGGAAGCCATCAAGACCTGGGCTCTTATTTTTTTTCATTGCAAGTGTAGCTTTACCATATTCGTTTAAGTATAACGGCTGTTCAAAAGCCTGTTGCATATCATTCTCTAGTTTTTGAATTGGAATATTGTTTCACATCAAGCTTGGATCAGTATCTACTGAACCATTTTTTTGGTACAAGTTTCTATAAAATGATTCTTGTTCTTTAATGATGAGAGTTTTATCATTCAGTTCCTCACCATCATTATTGATCAAGGAGGAGATGATATTATTTGTAAAGATTCTATTTTCAAGACGACAAAAGTATTTAGTTGGTTTCTCTCCCTCCTCATACCATTTTATCTCTTATTAAAAGCATTCATCTTGCTTTCTTCTTCTTTAATTTTTTCATAATCTTTTTTTGATTCAGATAATTTACTTAAAGCATCTTCAGAGATATTTTCAAAATCCTCTCTAATTTTATTTTCATATTGGTTTATTGCTTTTTCTAAATCGCCCACTTTCTTTCCTCTTTTCTTTTTCAAATATGAGGAAAAAGACATTGTTTTACCTCGCAAATTCATTAAAAAGGTTTCCAAGAATAGGGAATCAGGTATATTCAGTTTTAAATCCAAATCATCAAAAGGAGCAGAATTGTCTGATCTGTAAGATGGACATTGGGCATGTGCTTTGTTTAGTGTGGAATAGATGTTCGATGTAAACCTTAGGGTTTTCCATATTCACAAGAACAGGACCAGCTCCAAACAAAATTGACCTTAATTCAATTATCAATTTTTATATAAGACTTTTTGACTGATATAAACTGCTTCCAGACATTGAAGTCGTAATGTCAGTTAAGAAATGACAAGATATTAGGATATAAAAAGTTGGAATACAAGCTTTATTGATCATTAATAGAAAACAAGATTCAGATCTGAGTATACTGAAATTAAAGGAAGTGAAAAGTATGTTGGCTTACTAAATATCAAGACGAAGGTTGGTACTTCAACGTTCGTAGTCCTCGAGCAAAATTGAGAAGAGGAAGATGCCTTGTCACGTAAAAATGCCATATGTCAAAATCCACGATTTGCCAATTTGGGGGCGAACTCATATAATTCATTGGTATTAGAGATTAGTAATCATGATATGTACCAGGATATCGCGGCATTGTCCATAGGACGCATTTTAGATGTCCACCTTGATCCAAATTTCATTTGTAAGTAACCATTGTATTACATGTAGTTTCACTGAGATATCAACTTCCATGTACGCGTATAAGTAGCCAGGATACATACACCCATATTAGTACAACACATATATATCAAATAGTAGGAAATGACACAAAAACGAAATATAATCAATTCATAAATATAAATATATGCACTGTTTTTGTGCTCCACAAGATCACAGAGGCAAAATTCTGACATTGAAGCACCGTATATAAGAAAGCACTAGATCTGAATAAGTTATGCTAAAAGAGACGTTTTAAAAAAAATGCTAAAGTTCGGTGTGATCTCTTCAGTGTTTCTATAAAATTGGAGTCTTTTGCTTTTCGATTTACTTTAATAGGACTCCGCCGATATCAAACTTCAGATTATTGTGAGAACATAAGATGAATTTCTATCCTAATGAAGAATGATGCTAGGTTTTACAAAATGAAAGTAACAATATTGCAATATTAAAGATGTCTGCAAATATTCAAAATGAAAATAACAATATGACTTATGTCATGAAAATAATATTTAAAAATATTGAAATATAATAGTGCCTGGAGTATATACGATATATACTTTCTGAATGGATATACCAAATATATAACTTTCCAAAAAAAAGTGATAAACATGTTGTACATTCACGAATTTAAAAACAAAATTTAAAGTGACATTGCATTTCATGTTTTTATGTTGTACCATTATTCATGATTTTATTTACATTAAAAAGATGTTCTTTATGAGTCAGTATTGATGGAAGGGTTTATTGTATGTATACTTGACCAGGAGAACTGATTTGTTGCAGTTGCATTCTCAAGATAGGAAGAGGCGAACAGTACTGATTGACAAGTTTAGAGTGGATATACGTGGGTAGTAGTGCTTGTCTGCCATCACGTGTTGGCGTAAACATTCTGTGTCTCCAGATAGGCAGAAGCCAGGTCATAGCACAGGGAGACGTCAGCCTGGAACGTAAGGTCTCTGTGTCAGTCATTCATAAGCAAACATGTAGGTATATTGTCATGAGATAATTGTCAGGCCTATGTCAAGGCTGTTCGTCACTGAAGTGCATCTTAATGTCTGTTACATACAAGGATATATTTTGCGTCTCTGGATTTGACATGGCGTTTACATATATCTTACAAACAAAGATGTTGTGAGTTTGTTCAGTACCACTTTGAACAGTATACAGTTACATCAAGGCGTATCAGCTTGATGTGGGAGGAAAGCCTGAAGTTATGACGATCTTTTACGTTTACCACTTTGGTTATACCCAGAAGCACATTTTCTGGCATGCCAAAAGGGCACAACTGACATAACACGAACATTAATCTTAAGCTATTAGTAATCTGGAACCATTCTGATTCCTACTTGTGAGAGATTGTTGTCACACAGATGTCCCAACTTTTGGATGTTGTTGTAGATCTCCACCTCGTTGTTGTGTTTCATGCCCTGCACGATGTTACTCAGGATGCAGAACAACGTGGCTGATCGTCGTTCATTTTCACTGGTAGAAAAAGAGTTCTATAAACATGTAGCGCTTCTAGATATGCCTATAACAAATTTTTGAGCATATTTAGGGAATTAATACTTTAGATATAGATTTACATTGCATGTAATTTGGCAAATATTAGTTAAAAATACATTTTTTAATTTATTCAACCTGAATATAACTGTTATTGGCTGAGAGTTATTTCCCTCTATGTTGCGGTCAACATGCTCCAGGAGGTCAGACAGACTGGAATTATCATCTTTCCGGAAGGTCTTCAGGAGATACACATGTACCAACTGGGAAGATGCACTGCCCTGCAAACACAAGGTTGTCTTCATACATTGTCTGTCATTTATGGGAAACAGTGTGTTAAAGTATCTCTGAGTATCTCATGTTCCTTTCGCTGACATGTAACACAGAACTATACAAAGCAGCCTACCTCCATCTGTCTGTCGACTTTCCTGAGGATGAGACCAGAGTTGAGTGAGGTCTCAGTAGAACAACCCACGATCACAGTACTCAGGTCCAGGCTGTCTCCTGGAAGTGGCATGAAGCTGGCCAGACGCTGAAATATCGACATTTCCACACGCACATATATATATTCAATTAATTCAAACAGTGGTTTCTAAAACGTTCTCAAAATATTTTATCCCATCTACCTGATGCGAGTCTGGCAGGACAATGACAGTGGAAGACTCCTGCTCCTCTGTGAGTTTCCAGAACAGAGACGCTGTGGTGACGGAGGGGGCCTCAGTTAACAGGTAGCCATTCACAGACAGATGGGACTGAAGAAGACAAATACAAGACTCTGTCCAGGTGAAGAACAACCATATGTTACAACCCTAACCCTAAATGCAGTCAGTTCTTATTCTGATCACAAGTTATCAAGAGGTAAGTAAATTGGATAAGGCTATCGACGTTGGTACGGCTATGGAAAATACCATGTACGTATTGTACCTGTGCATGGTTCAGAATTGAGTCTATATACTTACAGGCATCATCACAGCTAGGATGTCTGTTCGTCCGTTCACCCAAACACGGCCCTTGATTTGACCAGCTATCAAACAGAAAGATATGATTGGGCGAAGGGTGTGGTTTTCTAACAATGGTTGTTGCCTACAGAACAGTGTGAATATGAAATTCAATTGTGGGGATGAGTCAAAAGTTCAGTAGGGGCACAGTTGGCTCAGTCGACAATTCGCTGTGCTTGCTAGGCTTGCTGGAGACCTCATCGTGCAAATGCCTGATTCACATTAAAATAGGTTGCTTGGATAGTCAGCACCATACACATGTCATGGGTTTCACCGGTTTCAGGAGATTTCAAAGGTCACAACTCAGGGTTTTCCTCCTGAATCACCGATCTCAGTCACATGAGCAACTGAGTTGTTGATATCCATTAATAAAGCGCATGACTCATGGAGGAGAATGCTAAAACCCCTTGATATATTATGCTCTCAGCCCAGGGAAAATGTTCTTACCAGATTTAAGTTCTTCGATGCTGACTTTAACTTTCTGTAAAGAAGACAAATGGCACATATGATGTCTACGATGTACTGCATGCATTGCTGTGGTGGATCAATGTTACAACACTGTGTATATTGTGCGATGGCAGATAATTGGAACGAGACAATCTCAGGAGGCAGAACAGAAGCATGCACTTAACTTGAACTTTGTTTCATAAACCCATGCTTATGATATAATCGGAATCGTACAATGGACTTTTAGTAGAGACTTCTTAAGATTATGGAAATATTTTTGTAGCGCTAATGTAGAGTTACCACCATATATGCAAGGATCAATATGTATCCTGACAAGGTAACACATATCAAAAGCAAGAACATGTCTGTTTAAGGGGTGTAGTTGTTCTGCTATTAACACTAAGGCTGACATTTGACGCAAGGGTTGTAGCATCTAATACCGTATTCATACGGGAAAGTGCGAGAAGCACGCACCTGCATCATCTGAGACACTGTCGTCGTCCCCATCTTGAACACCTTCTTTGCTCGTCTTTGTGTCCTGAATTCGGGTGAGGTCAAGGTCGTGTCACCCATCATCAGTGCCTCGTGGAGAGTCGTGTACACGCATGCGTACTGCTCCTACAATGTACAACCATCATGCTTTATTGCTTGATGGAAAACGATGAAATATGGAGATATGTATATGACCGGGCAACATAAATTATGTCGCTTGTCACATACCTTGGTCTGTATCATATTTCTCCGCTGCTGTCGCATCAGATTCACAAACCCGAACACGTCCACCTTCCGATCAGTCAGGGCCTGGTCCAGCAGGTAGTCCACAGCGATGTATGTCCCTGTCCGACCGACCCCAGCACTGGAAAGGAAGCGTATTGTGGGATAACACAGACTGGCGTGCAGCTTTGGTGGGACATTTCAACGGAAAATGTGGTCATTGCTTTAAAATGCTCTTCAATTCAGGAGTAAAAACAAAATGTAAGATTTATATTCACGCACAGAAAACAACGATAAAAACATGATTCTATTGAGGTGTAAATGATTCTACATTAGGTACCGTACAACACTTAGTGCCTGTCACATTTAGATATTGTCGTCACATACCTGCAGTGCACCATCAAGGGTGTATTGTGGTTTGGTGTCTTTCTTATTCTCCAAAGAAACTCCATCAGTGCTGTTTCCTCCGGAGTTCCATGATCTGGCCATTTTGTGTAGTGGAAATGGTGAAACAGCCTACTCTCGCCGGTCTGTAGAAATACATGCAATTTACATATCTTGACGACATACATATTTATAATGTAATGTTTGTTTCCTTTTCACTTTATTATCCAGTTACAGATTAAATGTTTTGCAACGACTCCCGATGTATTTCGATCTGAATCGCTTTCTTTCTTTATTTGTACCTCTTTCAAAGTGGCCTTGAGTTCTCTGATGACCCAGTGAGCTCTGGGACTGATGTTGGTGACGGAGATGGTGAAGACATCCACAACGAGGTCAGACGTGTCTGACCAATAGGGGACACACTTCACCTGTTATTGAAAAGTACATTTTTTTTATTTGTGGTATGATGATAAAACCGACTGAACCCTTACCATATTCCTGAGAAATCTCTTCTAAAAGCAGAGTCGATTGTACAACTTTGTACATGTGTTTATGTACACTATCAAATAGTAATGATACCAGGTGTTCGCAAAAGGTGAGGACATCTCTGTCACAAACACATGCAAATGCAAGCCAATTGTTCATCGAAAAAAACACGGGAACTTATGATACAAGTCAAAATAGGGAATTGCATCGGACATCATTTTTGTCACTGATGCATCAAATTTGGAAATGTCCCCCACATGTCAACCATAAAACTTTTTAAAGTGTTACTGAAATGTGTAACCTTGATGACAAAACTTGACACTCCTTGAAGTCTTGGTACAAAGAGCATGTCCGATTGTATCCTTAAAGTTGTGAAATGAAAATGACAAAAGGCTGGAGCTGCTGGAATATTGCTTGACATGAGTCAAAGTCGACTATTGGAAAGTTGAAGTCATCATTCGTATACATCCTTTTGGAGAGTATTTTTTTCTCTCTCTCGAATCTTTATGCATAGATTTAGATATGAAACTGATGAGGCGGTCTCACTGATCTGCTATATTCCCAGTTAAGGTGGGTAAATCAGTGGTAGGCAATTGGCTTTTTGGTGTTTGTTGAACTAGATCATCAATGTTTTCTTACATGAAGGATTAGATAAACTTCTTTGCCAAATTTACATGTTTTGATTTTGCTAATCCGAGCAGAAAGAAAGAGATCCGGAAGGATGCGAGCACAAGTGGAGCACATGAGCATGCACACTTCTTGTCTAAATGTCTTACCCCCAATTTTACACAGCTGTTATCAATGAGGAAGTCCAGCATGTCTTACTCAATACTCTATAGCTTTTCAGTAAGTGCTTTTAGCACCTGATAAGCTAAACAATCATCGTGTGCTGTTCACATTTAAACACCATTTATGTGAGTATCCTCCTCCCAACAAACACATAGACATCCAAATTGTGCGGCGTGCATTAACATACATGTGCAAATTGTGAATCAGACCTTAGGGTCAAGGTGATGTCTTAATGTATGTGTAGTGAAAGATACATTATTCAATTTCAGAACAAACTCATTTTATTTAACTTAATATGAAGCATGGTTACTTTTTTCCGTTAGTATAGATACTGCAGATGATTTCCATCACCACAACTAACACAGTTGTATCTGCATATACCTAGATAAAACATGGTCAAAAATCTGTACCTGCATGTGCCTAGATAAAATCTGGTCACACATCTGTATCTACATGTACCTAGATAAAACGTGGTCACATATATGTATCTACATGTACCTAGATAAAACGTGGTCACACATCTGTATCTACATGTACCTAGATAAAACGTGGTCACATATCTGTACCTACATGTACCTAGATAAAACGTGGCCACACATCTGTACCTACATGTACCTAGATAAAACGTGGTCACACATCTGTATCTACATGTACCTAAAAGGAACATAGGGCATGGGTATACCTTTCCTGTCTCTGTCAGGTTTGTCAGCATGACGATCCTTGTCAGGTTCTTCCCGTAGATCATTCTCCAGAAGTCCCCCACTGTTTTCCTGTTCGGTGCTGGCAAACACAGATTTTCTATTCTGATTGGTGAGGTTGATTTTATCATATTTCATATTTTTAGTGCACGAGAATATAGTTTGTTTGTTTGTTGTTTAACACCGCACTTAGCAATATTCCAGCTATCTGACGGCGGCCTGTAAATAATCGAGTCTGGACCAGACAATCCAGTGATTGACAGAATGAGCATCGATCCACGCAATTGGGATCGATGACATGTATCAACCAAGTCAGCGAGCCTGACCACCCAATCCCGTTAGTCGCCTTTTACGACAAGCATAGTCGCCTTTTACGGAAAGTATGGGTTGCTGAGGACCTTTTCTACCCCGGAATCTTCACGGTTCACGAGAATATAGTGAGTGAGTGAGTTTGGTTTAACACCGCTTTTAACAGTATTCCAGTTATATCACTGTGTGTCAGCTGATTGGGGAGGAAAGCCCGAAGTGATGCAGGTCTCAGACGTTTACCACTTCGGTGAAACCCGCGAGCATAGGTATGGTGCTGACAAACCTAGGAACATAATCGGGACGAACCAGGATTCGAACACTCAATCACAGGTTTCTGGAGTGACGAAGGGACGCAACTCTGCACAGCAAATCGCGACGCCTTAGACGACTGGGCCACTCGTGACCTCCGAGAATATAGATTCGTGTTCGGTCAACACTGTAATAATACTGTACAAACAATTTTCAATTATCTGACCTTGTGCTGCAATATAGGCTTGATCCATTGAGTACCCCTGAAATATGAAAGACATGTCCACCCTTTATATACAAGTCATAATATTTTGCAACCACAGCGTGCATATTTCACAATACATGAATGTTAAGACACTGAATCTGCAGACACTGGATCTGCTATAAGCCCATCGACACATTCTCTCATGGCTGTAGACTTTTTAGGACGTTTCTTTTTCGTTTGTTTTAGAATATCCAACAAACAGAATGAGATGACACAGTGTGTCAGCTGTATCGTCGGGTGTCAACTTTATGTGGGAGAAAAGCCATGACTAAAACTGGTCCATTACAAATCAGCGACTCGACAGGATCATAGGATTCTGCAAGCCGTATTGATGTAACACCGAACAACAAATTCCGACGTGTCTACCCTTGCCCCTAAACCAACAAAGATCAGGTGGTCAGTCTCGCTGAGTCGGTTGATGCTTGTCATGATATCCCAATTGTCAATTATCCCCTCATGTCAATTACTGGATACTCTGGTTTAGGCTGAATTATTTACAGACGCCGCCATATACGTTGAATATTGAGTGCGGCAGTAATTAACAAACAAAACTTACTTGATATGAAGTGCATTAGAGTATTATACTTTTGGTATTCAATAAATACAACAGAAAGTAAGTGGTCGGCTGCTGTGGAAACTACATGATTAGTAGTGAGCGAGTGAGTGAGTTGGGTTTAACGCCTCTTTTAACAGTATTTAAGTTATATCACGACATGTCAGCTTAATGTGGTAGGAAAGCCCGAAGTGATGCAGGTCTCAGCCGTTTACCACTTCAGTGAAACCAACGAGCAAGGCTATGGTGCTGACAAACCCAGAAACATAATCGGGATGAACCGGGATTCGAACCCTTCATCATAGGTTTCTGTCGTGCCCAAGGGACGCAACTCTGCACAGCGAATCGCTGCGCCTTGGACGACTGGGCCACCCGTGCCCCCACATGATTAGTAACACTTTAGGTATCTTACATTGATATAGCTGGCGTTGATGTAGTCGGATGATTGATCCCCTGGGAGCTTCTCCAGGACAACTCGGTTGTAGTCATCTGTGGTCGGGAATAAGCAGAGAGTCATCCACTCAGAGAATATACTGACTCTCCATGATCTCATGGACATGTGAGCTATATGTTCATTTTGGACTTCTTGTTATCATTGTAATAGTCTACAATCAGTCGTAAGATACTCACATGGGTAATACTCTCGGAATCTGTTCTTGCCATTGTTCTCCTCACGTTGAGAATCTTCATACGGGTGCGTGAACCCGGATATTAACCGCTAGAAAGAATAATTCTATTTAAATGTTTACTTCCTTATAACAAATTTATCCTGACCAAAGCCACGGTAACTCTACAGGAACTCGACAATACTCTTTCTGAAGAGTAGAGCAATCTTCCCTTTGCAGCCATCCAGACACTTACTGGGAGACGAATGAGACGAATGTGCCAGGCTGTGCTACTGAGAGTTGTTGGTTTTTTTGGACAATGAATTAGTTTTCGTAATGATTTACGTTTCCTTTTCGGCTGGTTACTTTCATTTTGACCGCCGACCTGAATGATTATTGGCCACAAATTGTTTGTTTGCATTGGTGTATATTTAACATGACGGTTCGCCCTGATTATGTTTCTAGGTTTGTCAGCACCATACCCGTCCTCGTGGGTTTCACCGAAGTGGTAAACGTCTGAGACCTGCATCACTTAGGGTGTTTATCCCACATTAAGCTGACACGCTGCGATATAACTGGAATACTGTTAAAAGCGGCGTTAAACCCAACTCACTCACTCATTCATTTAACATGATTTCACTCAGTATTGTCTTTGGCTTTTCCAACAGATGCACATGATTTGACGTTTGACCTTTTAAAGTGGAGATCCTTAGCCAACTTTGAGTAGTATATATCTTTGTTAGGGCTGTTACATATGATGTGGATTTTGTGATGGATACCAAATTGATGCAGCGGTTTCAACATACATCACCCGACTTGATGCTGAGACAATGATTTGTAAATAATGGAAAAATAAAATGAGGCTCTACCCCGTATTCCCGTTCGAATCCTCCTACACCAGCCTGCAGTTCTCTGATCCTGTCCCCTAGCTTGTCCACAGCCACTTTCATCACTATTACTGGAGCCTTGATGTTGTAGTAGGAGCTTCTGTCAGCCTCCTCCTCCATCTCCTCCATCTCCTCTTCCTCGTCTCTGTTTACTCCCTGGGATGCTGTAGAACAACATGCGTTCCCTTTAGGGCTGAACAAGTCTGTCTTTGTTTACAGGCTTTCTTGTTTTAATTATCTAGGAGCAAGATCGTTACCTGTCGTAAGGAGAACCGGAGACTACGTTCAGAAGACTACTTCATGATACCCTCACCTATTCACGAACAGGGGGGCACGGGTGGCCCAGTCGTCTAAGGCGCCGCGATTCGCTGTGCAGAGTTGCGTCTCTTGGGCACGCCAGGTTCGCCCCGATTATGTTTCTAGGTATGTTAGCACCGTACCCGTGCTCGTAGGTTTCATCGAAGTGGTAAACATCTTAGACCTGCATCATTTCGGGCTTCCCTCCCACATTAAGCTGACACGCCGCGATATAACTGGAATACTGTTAAAAGCGGCGTTAAACCCAACTCACTCACTCACTATTCACGAACACCTGGTATCATCACTGTTTCATGGTGATAGCATAAACACATGCTTATTATACTGACGAAATCATACAATGGACAATGGGTTGTGTCACTTGTATTTACCTTGCACCTGGTGTCTGTCTGGTTCCATAGCTGATATGTCTTCGTAGATGGAGTGCTCCTTGTTGATGTTGCTGGCGTTGTCTTTTCTCCTTAATGTAAACATAAGAAGCATCAGAATGTGCTCACACAGATTTAATGACAGTATGTTATTTCAGTTCTGACATTCAGTAACTGAATTGCTGAATTATTTGTATAAACTATGTTATTATTTATTGATATTATATCTAAGAATAAGGTGAGTGGAACAGTTATACAATAAACATGATATTCTCACTTGAAGAGGGAAAAGGCCAAGCATATATGTATGTGTCCATTTTCATAAAAGCGCACCTACCTGTAAAACATAACACCTATCACAGCAAGTACAACCACGACCACTGCTAACACACCGCCAACGATACCACCAATCGTAGCTCCGTTTGAGTCGTCGGATTGAGGAGTTGAAACAGTCACTGAGTAGGTGAGTAAGTTCAGTTATTTCATGGCAGTGTCAGATTATTGTGGAAGGAAAAATATAACCTTAGTGCTGATGTGACAATTTGTTGATTGAAATTAGATGAATATACATGAATGCATGAATGCATGTTGAATATGATTATTGATTATTGATTAAAGTTTATTAATTACTTATTAATTCAATTTTGAAATAGTACGTGTGTAATTTCAAACTTGTTAATTAACATTATTGGAATATATATTAAAATGATCGTTTCAGTAACACCATCAACAAATGCACCAAGTGTCACATCACATACTTCGTGTGCAATGTCCACCTTTAACATCTTGACATCACATACCACTCTGCGTACAATCATCTCCTGTCCATCTTGACTGGCACCCATCACTACACAACCCTGTGTCCCGGGGACAGGTGCCCGACCCTCCCTCACACATCCGGGCACTGCAGTTTCCTGTACATCCGGCACCATACTCCACATCTTGGACACAGCCTGTTGGTATATTTAATCAGCATATATTAATAACGAGTCAAATTCCCCACGTACACAGAAGAAGGCAAAAAATGAGTTGTATTGTTAAAATACTAGTCATTATTTTCGCTGTAAGATCATTGTTGACTGAACCATTTGGGGCAGATATTCAATTTAAAAACACGGACTGTTTAATGTTGTTTTATCAAGGTTACAAAACGTTTTATGGTAGACACATGGAGGATATTTCAAAATTAGACGCATCAGTGTCAAAAATGATGTCCAACGCAATTCCCTATTTCAGTTGTACCATATGTTCCCGTGTATTTTTACGGTGAACAAATGACTTTCCTTTGATTGTCTGCTGTGACGGGGTGCCACCGGTGGGTCAGGATACGCTCACCTTTTCGCGAACACCTTGTATTATCACCTTTTAATGGTGATTGATAAACACATTTTCATAATCTAGTTGGAATCGTACCATCGACTTCTTCTAAATGTGGACAGGATTTTGTTTCTTTTATTTAGACTGTTTCGTCTGTGATATCAGGTAAGCTGCATGTCTGAATATTCATTTTGCACTTTTTTATTTTATTTAAAAAGTTACCGCCAGTTTCAAACATTACACAAGAAGACACAGTTGGAAAATGCGGGTTAGAAATAAAACCCAAAGACATGAAATTTTTGGAACCCAGGTGAGCGGACAAAAAAAAGTCGAGCGAGCATGCACGTTAACAGTTTCATTCCTTCTCGGACTTCAGTCTCAAAGGGTAGTGTGGACAGTGAATTTGCATGCATTTCGAAAAGCGTCCTGTGACATGACGTTACATGTGAGCAGAAAGGGAATTCCCCAGGCTATGATAATGGGATTCCCCACATTCCGCAGTGATGAAAGTAGTCAACTTAGCTTCGTTGGGCGTGGCTTACTTTTTTACATTCATTGGGAAATGAATGCAATAACAGGTGACAAATTCAGCTATTCAGAATACATGAATTACAATGAACACAACGACTTTTATTACTTATGAATAACGTGATTCAAGGGGTAAGATGTGAGTAAAAATGAAAGCTTGGACTATCGATAAATGTGTCATGAGTTTACATTCGATCATATTATATCCACAAAGAATATTTCCTTTCCACACAGCTCTCACCTGTTGTGCAATCGACATCTTTCCATCCAGGACTGCAGCCTCCTTTACACCATCCAGTCACGTGATCACATACAGATTGTGGCGTGTCTCTACAATGTCTGGCTGAGCAGCTTCTTGTGCAGTTCTCTCCATACGTATCGACGCATTCTTCAAAGAAACATATGTTTGTGCTGGGTTTATACAAATTATTGAATGGGGCGGTCGGGTAGCCTAGTGGTTAAAGCGTTCGCTCGTCACGCCGAAGACCCGGGTTCGATTCCCGACATGGGTACAATGTGGGAAGCCCATTTCTGGTGTCCCCCGCCGTGATATTGCTGGAATATTGCTGAAAGCGGCGTAAAACCATACCCACTCAAATTATTGAAGCTATTTTACAGAATACAGCTGTTTTAAATGCTGGTCTACATACACAACATACACCCGTGTATCCTTACTCTGTGTGCAGTCCGGTGTTTGGTAGCCTGCCAGACATCCATCTGAACATTCACCAGTTGCATGATTACAGCCGGAGGTGTTGTCCTTACACATTCTGTCTGTGCATCGCTTGGAGCAGCTTCGTCCGTATTCACCCATTGGACATGCTGAAACAGCAGATACAGAGACTATGAATTTAATTTCATGAATCAATAAAATTGTGTAAAATACGTTCATAAAAGTTAAAATTCCACTAATGTTGAAAATTACAGTATTTATCCAAATTATTGAAGAAATGTTTGTGAATGTAAAGAATTTACAAGACTATGAAAGAAATCCAGTAGCATGTATACTATCAATATGTATATATTTCATTAGAGTTGTGTTTTAACATAATGTGTAAATCTGCTCATGTTATCCAAACAAAATCTTTACGACTGACTGAGACACAAAGACACTCGGGGGTAAAAATCACTGTCATGCAATACCAAATATGTCCAGAGTGTGCATTAATGCACGCCTGAACACGACGACGCACCGATGACGTCAAACGTCGAATAACGTTGGAGGTAATCCGCTGCTGTTCCCCAAGGAGACATTGTTCCAATTCTTGACGGTTGACTTGAGCCATTGGTCGTCTTTGGATCTATCGGTCATCCCATAGTTGTTCGATTCGGTAAGGAGAACGTGCCAGCCAGGGTGAAAAGTGAATGTTTGCGTTGTTCAGAAAGTTTTGTGTTAGCCCTGTGGTATGCGGGCTTGCATTTTCTTGCTGAAGACAATACCATGTGGCTGTTGCTGAAGGAATATCCAAACTTCATCCCCATATCTCTGGGCATTCACGTTACACTGATGATAACGAGCCTCGTTTTGACATCACCGCAGATACCTTCCCAGACCATGATGGTACCGCCTCCAAATGGCTGAACTTGCTGAACACAATCTAGCGCGTGCACCTGGCCGTCTATAAACTCGCTGCCGACCATAATTTCTGTTCACGCAATATTTACTCTCATTGTAGAACATAACACATCCCCAGTCTAGCACTTGCCAAAATCGAACTCGCCTGGCGCATGACAACCTGTCACGTCGGTGTTGACATCACTCTGTGGTATAGTCAACATGTTCTGATACCATGTTTTCTTCATCTCCTAAACACTGTCTGTCGACGGACACTGTTTCCCAGTGTCATCAGTGTAGTTACCGCTGCTGTAATGAAGGGGTTTGGGCGATGAATGATCCGAATGTGACGGTCTTCAGTGGGCGAGGTCTGCCGATTCTACTCCTTTCTGATGTCTGTCCTGTCTGTTGTAAACGTTGCAACAATCTGGTAATGTTGACACGGATGCATCGAGCCGCTCTTGCATCTGTATAGTGGTTAAACGTAACATATTTTCTTGGTGGATTTGGTTGATGAGTTGCTACCGGGCCGTGTCACCAGTTTTATACATTACTTTTGTACGTGCATTTCGTTCTACGTAGTCCAAAGTCGTTGTGGCTAAATGCACGATTTTCAATAAATTGTAAGTTTTTTCCTTTTTTTTGTCACTAAAAGCATTTGATTGTATTCGTGCGACATATTATGTCTTAATTTATATTGAACTATTAATTATCATAATAGTGGAAAACATCTGAGTTGGTATACCTTCGTTTTGGAGATTAGTTTGGTTTAATTTTATTTATTTCTATTCTACTAAATGGTGTTTATTCACGTTTTCGTCTCTGGTTTTTTTTTTGTTTAACTCACTGGTGTTGCAACTGTTGCCCCTCCAGCCTGACATACACGTTCCACTGGGACAGATGCTGCTGACGTAGTTGCACACGTCACCGTCACAATGGCAGTAATTGTCACACTCAGCGCCGAAAGTACCAGGACTGCACACTGTCAAATGGATGTTTGACTCTTACATCACACTACATTGAGTTTTACATGTATTTTATGGGTTTCTATAACCACGAAAGCGAAGACATGACACTTACGTTTAGATAGTTACACATGATCAGAACAAAATAACCTATTTCGCATACGGATGTTCTTACCTTGATACAAAGTTACTTACTATTTGACTGAGAACATGTGGCACTGATGTAGAGAGGTGTTCTATAAATCAGAGTCAACAGATACTTTTTTCAAAACAAATGACAGAACGATACATTTGCAAAGTTCATTTACAACACTGTATATTTCTTATTGAGTTAATGTATGTGTGGTCATGATGCTAGCTTCCCTTAAATCGCTGCTTTTCAGTACTGTAAAATCATTGCACCTAATGTACTGTTGCAAAATATGACACAGAAGTGTTCGCTTACCATCTACTTCTACCTCACAAAAGTCAAGTATAGGCAGACTGTGTCCAGCATTGTTCACTGTTGTGTAAAGTAAAATGTAGCGCCCCGTGCCAGAGCAAGGTGCCCGTGTGACGTCAGCAATGTCACGTCCATCACTTCTTCCTGTCACGTTGTAGCAGTTAACACCACTCGGGGCATCAGTGAAGTTGGTCATGTACACCTGGATACCATTCCTTCTTGGTTTGTCTGGAATAATTGCTTCAAAATATTCACATGAGGGCTTTCGCATAGATATCCACATGAACGTATTCAACACTGCCTTGACGAAAAAGACTAACGATGTATAAACGTTAAACAGCCAACAATAGATTCTCACAAACTAACAATTAACCAAGCATTATCGATTGCAGATGACAATAAACTCACAGTCAAGTCTGAAGTAGATGGTGACCTCACGTATCAGCACTGTGTCATTGAGATCCACACGCCACCAGTTGGGGTTGCTAGGCGCTGTTTCTATACAGACAAGATACCCGCTTGCAGTGCTTCCGTCCGTGGCATGGGATGACGGGTAATTGCCCTCTCCACTGGATGATGTAGCTTTCTTCCTCGCAACATTATCTGGAAAATGCATGAACAATTTCTTTTAATTTATTAGATTTGTTTGTATTCGATATCTACAGTCAGCGGTGTTCCGCAGAATCTGGTCTCTTACATTGCCTTACATTAAGACTTCTGCCCATTAACTAGACTTACATACATCACACATATTTCACATTCTTGAAAACAATACCAGACTTGTTATGGGGGAATTGCTGGACTTGTCACATTCCAGGGGTTTGATTTCTTTTGTCAGAAACAGGCTTTTTTCTTTTTCTGTGAAAATTAAAATTTCACATCCATCATTTTCAGCAACGTTTCGAGTTAGAAATATGAGCGCCAAGGCATAAAATGAGATGAAGGCAACGCCTGAAATATATTACAGAAAACGCAACAATGTCACAACGCGAGAATGTGACAACTCATGAAACGTTTTTCTACGCATTGAGGCGACATTGCGACAATACATTCTGTGACCTCAGACATTAATGTCACTTTGTCACATTGACCCCCCTTTGGTAAAAACCAAACATATAATTTGTTCTTCTTGCTTTTATAAGATCGACAAGAGACATTCTCACCACCACCACTTTGTAGCAGGCCGCACGTCTGTATCTGTGTTACTCTGGTTTTCTGTATTTCTTCTGACATTTATGAATGAAAGAGGCGTGAATCCATGTACATACTTTCACCAAACATAGTTAGATCCAATAGTTCAGGATGATCAGTGGTCTTATAGGGCGGTGTATTTTATTGTTAAACAATGATTGTAGCTGAAGTACATTTTTTCTGTCGAGTTCGGTTAAAGCTCATTGCATTTTATTTGAACAATGTTTTTTTGTCAGGAATGTGGTACTCTTAAATGTAAGCAGTTTTGAGGAAGTTTCTATATTTAGATGCTGGTGTGATGTGGTAGCTCTCTTAATACCGTGGATTGAGATAAAGCGTTATAGAAACAGGTGGATTATTCTATTATTTGAGGGCTCCATTACTTTTTGGAAATGGATAGTTGAAAGGGTTCTCTACCACTGTTGCACGTGCTCCGTAACGAGCTGATCTTTACAATGCATGTTTATGATTCTTTTGAATGGTTTGTCAAAATGGATAAGGCAGGGATTATATATTCGAAACTCTCCATTCCTTTAAAATAATGGGCCCCAGTTTTAAGGACTCGAGAATTACTCGGACAATACCCTCTACGAAATGTAGTACTATTTTATGTAAGCAGTTTTGAGGAAGTTATAACAATATTTAGATGCATATGTGATGTGTAAAACGTCTGGAATACCGTGGACTGAGATAGAGCGTAATAGAAATAGTTATAGAATATTCTGTGGTGGCACTGTGTAGAAATTGCCAGAAGCTAGTATGACTATATGAGGGAAAAGAACGTGTCTTCCATATCTCTCACACATTTCATTACATCAAGACCAGTTTTCTTGTGAACATCACTCATCACCCCGGATTCCCAGTCTAAGCTATCTCGGCAGCTTTACTATTGTCGCCACTTGGTGAATATACTATTATGTTTTTCTCTCACCACGGTACTTTTGTATTTGATATCAACCACTGCTATCATATCATATATTGTCATTCAGTATTGTACTATTACTAGTGTGTACTGTCATTGTAATTGCTTTGCAGTAAGTTGTATTGATTTGTAAAGATAGTGAATTTTGTTATACATTAGTTGATTGTATACCACGTGTTGGATGTTTGTTGGTTTCACACTAAAGTAACAATGGGTATTTGCACTATTAGTCAATACCAAGTGATTGCAAGGGCATACAGGGCTTCTGATTAAAAATGACAACGTCTCAGTGTTATCCATATTCGTATTTCTGCCACCTCATAGTATCTCTCCAATCAAAATAGAAGTACTTGATTCAAGAACCGGGGGGTTCATGAGACACTGAAAAGGGTACATTGATGACACAAGGGTTAGCTTTTGAATACATTCTGCCTAATTAAAGAGAAGGGGTGGTTGTTGATGTATGTGACCTGTTAGCGATATGAACTAAATAATTTCTTGAAAGACGCGAAAAATATTTGTGATTTCACACCACTGTGTATGAGCAAGGCTTCCAGTGTCAATGTAATGTCAGTAGTTATGCTGCTGTAGTTACATACGTGTCTCACATGTCGGACCAGACCATCCTGGGTAACAGGCTGGCGGTCTGCAGCCGGAAGTAGAATCACACTTGTCTTGGTCACAGTTACATCTGTAGCCACACTGGAAACCGTATGTACCGTTAGGACAGCTGCCTGTAACAGAAGTATTATATCAGCGATAGACAGTGACACAGGTAGCTGTATGTGCCATCAGGACAGCTGTCTGTAACAGAAGTATTATATCAGAGATAGACAGTGACACTGGTAGCTGTATGTGCCATCAGGACAGCTGCCTGTAACAGAAGTATTATATCAGAGATAGACAGTGACACTGGTAGCTGTATGTACCATCAGGACAGCTGCCTGTAACAGAAGTATTATATCAGAGATAGACAGTGACACTGGTAGCTGTATGTGCCATCAGGACAGCTGCCTGTAACAGAAGTATTATATCAGAGATAGACAGTGACACTGGTAGCTGTATGTACCATCAGGACAGCTGCCTGTAACAGAAGTATTATATCAGAGATAGACAGTGACACTGGTAGCTGTATGTGCCATCAGGACAGCTGCCTGTAACAGAAGTATTATATCAGAGATAGACAGTGACACTGGTAGCTGTATGTACCATCAGGACAGCTGTCTGTAACAGAAGTATTATATCAGAGATAGACAGTGACACTGGTAGCCGTATGTACCATCAGGACAGCTGCCTGTAACAGAAGTATTATATCAGAGATAGACAGTGACACTGGTAGCTGTATGTGCCATCAGGACAGCTGCCTGTAACAGAAGTATTATATCTAGAGATAGACAGTGACACTGGTAGCTGTATGTACCATCAGGACAGCTGCCTGTAACAGAAGTATTATATCTAGAGATAGACAGTGACACTGGTAGCTGTATGTGCCATCAGGACAGCTGCCTGTAACAGAAGTATTATATCAGAGATAGACAGTGACACTTGTTAGCCGTATGTACCATCAGGACAGCTGCCTGTTACAGAAGTATTATATCAGAGATAGCCAGTGACACTGGTTAGCCGTATCTACCATCAAGACAGCTGTCTGTAACAGAAGTATTATATCAGAGATAGACAGTGACACTGGTAGCTGTATGTACCATCAGGACAGCTGCCTGTAACAGAAGTATTATATCAGAGATAGACAGTGACACTGGTAGCTGTATGTACCATCAGGACAGCTGCCTGTAACAAAAGTATCATATCAGAGATAGACAGTGACACTGGTAGCCGTATGTACAATCAGATCAGGACAGCTGCCTGTAACAGAAGTATTATGTCAGAAATAGACAGTGACACTAGTAGCTGTATGTACCATCAGGACAGCTGCCTGTAACAGAAGTATTATATCAGAGACAGACAGTGACACTGGTTAGCTGTATGTACCATCAGATCAGGACAGCTGCCTGTAACAAAAGTTTTACACCAGAGACTGACAGTGACATGGGTAGCCGTATGTACCATCAGATCAGGACAGCTGCCTGTAACAGAAGTATTATATCAGCGAAATACAGTGACACTGGTAGCTGTATGTACCATCAGGACAGTTGCCTGTAACAAAAGTATTATATCAGAGATAGACAGTGACACTGGTACCTGTATGTGCCATCAGGACAGCTGCCTGTAACAGAAGTATTATATCAGAGATAGACAGTGACACTGGTAGCTGTATGTACCATCAGGACAGCTGCCTGTAACAGAAGTATTATATCAGAGATAGACAGTGACACTGGTTAGCCGTATGTACCATCAGGACAGCTGTCTGTAACAGATGTATTATATCAGAGATAGACAGTGACACTGGTAGCTGTATGTACCATCTGGACAGCTGCCTGTAACAGAAGTATTATATCAGAGATAGACAGTGACACTGGTAGCTGTATGTACCATCAGGACAGCTGCCTGTAACAAAAGTATTATATCAGAGATAGACAGTGACACTGGTAGCCGTATGTACAATCAGATCAGGACAGCTGCCTGTAACAGAAGTATTATGTCAGAAATAGACAGTGACACTGGTAGCTGTATGTACCATCAGGACAGCTGCCTGTAATAGAAGTATTATATCAGAGACGGACAGTGACACTGGTTAGCTGTATGTACCATAAGATCAGGACAGCTGCCTGTAACAAAAGTATTATATCAGAGACTGACAGTGACATGGGTAGCCGTATGTACCATCAGATCAGGACAGCTGCCTGTAACAGAAGTATTATATCAGAGATAGACAGTGACACTGGTAGCCGTATGTACAATCAGATCAGGACAGCTGCCTGTAACAGAAGTATTATGTCAGAAATAGACAGTGACACTGGTAGCTGTATGTACCATCTGGACAGCTGCCTGTAACAGAAGTATTATATCAGAGACAGACAGTGACACTGGTAGCTGTATGTACCATCTGGACAGCTGCCTGTAACAGAAGTATTATATCAGAGATAGACAGTGACACTGGTAGCCATATGTTCCATCAGAAAAATAATCGAAAAACATTTGATATGGATATTCTTTCGCGTAAAATGCTTATGCTGAAGACTCTTGTAAAAAACAATAATTAGCTACAGAAGAAGAAATTAATTGATGTATCTTCCAAAACAACATAAGTAATAATACTCATAGTTTTACATCATGTATGGTTTTATAGCTGTAGATGAATCCGATCTACATGCAATATCCCAGGTCCCTCGATAGTGTAATAATGGTCGCACGAGAAGTATCCAACATAGCAATTAATTAGCGACATAGTTTTGCTGGTCCCAAAATCAAAACCGATAGTGATCCTACTTGGAGATTTATGAAGTGTGAGTTAAATGGATATAAAACAAATTCATTATGAACTGTACTAGTATCAAAAGGGCATATTATTATATTTTATTTCTACCATAAATAGATGTGCATATTGTGTAAAACTGTGAGCATGCGCCAGTGTATGGTGTCCACAGCCGTATAAATATTCATTTATGTTAGCAGTAGTATTATCAATATTATTAATTAGTCAGAATGAGGAGACAGGGTTATCTCCCTGGTCGTGATAGTGATCAATAAAGCCATTCGGCAACCACTTTATAATTGACCAAAAATCGGCACTCTTGACAGCAAGTTGCCTAAGGTGTATTTTCTGACCATAATAATCTTTGTTCAGCAACTAATGTGGGGCAGATCATACCCCAGGGAGTGTTTTTACAAATATTAGAGTCATAAGAGAAACTGAAATGTTGGGCTGATCAATGTCCAAGAAGCATGCGAAATATAACTAGTCCGCAAAAATCTCAACATTGATATTTCCAGGCAGGGAAAGATGCGATAGCACTGAATCCAACCAGGAAGTGACAACATTGAATCCTACCAGGAAGTGACATCACTGAATCCTACCAGGAAATGACAACTCTGAATCCTACCAGGAAGTGAAAAAACTGAATCCTACCAGGAAGTGAAAAATCTAAATACTACCAGGAAGTGACAACATTGAAGTGACGGTGCTGAATTCTACCAGGAAGTGACAATTCATAATCCTACAAGAGGTGGCAAAACTGAATCCTACGAGGAAGTGAAGATGCTAAATCCAATCTGGAAGTGCCAGCACTGAGTTCTATAAGGAAGTGACAATTCTTAATCTTGCAAGGAAGTAACAAACCTTAATCCTACGAGGAAGTGAAGATGCTGAATCCAATCTGGAAGTGACAGCACTGAATCTCACCAGGAAGCTAAAACACAGATGCCTACTAGGAAATGGCAATACTGGATCCCACAAGGATTTGACCGCACTGAATCCAACAAGGAAGTGACAACACTGGAACACTGAATCCTGAGTACATTGCTTTAAATCATTACATAAGATTACTTGTTGCTGAAATATGTTTTAAAATTGTGCTTGGCTGTTACATTTTACATTTAGCTTCTATTATCAGGGCCCATAGCAGCTTAAACAATATGGGATGTTATCGTCATGTTACCGTAATGTTTTCTCTTGTCTCTTTGCTTTTCCACATGCAAGAATATGTGTATTTCACAAAGCTATGTAAACCAATGTTTGCTCGAAGCTCAAACGCAGGTCAACTTCTACCTATGCTTGACCATAGCCATATCAGGTATTATATACTCTTCCAAAAAAGAAATGCAATACGGATATTTTGAGCCATAACAGCAAAATAAGTGGACAAAGAGGTGCACAATGAAGAGGTTTTAATGTGTTTTAGTTTCAGTGAGAAATTTCTCCGATCAAAATGAACACAACAAGGACATGCAAGCCATTAGTCCGGAAACACGTACGATTTGGAAAAATGCATCCAGTGCATTAATGAAAGGGCCACGGAGCTGCACGCACTGCACGTGCAACAGAACTATGAACGGTATTAAAGTGCAAGGTTTTTGATTGCCTGGCATCTGCGTCAACCGAACAGTGACAGTTCAACAACATGCCAAGATTAACAGAAGTGCAAAGAAACAACGTCAAAGACCGCTTGCCGGCAGGGGCATTCCTATCAGCTTTAGCCAGGGTTTTCAATGTAGCGCCAAGGACCATCACAAGGCATGGGATCGGTTTCAACAGATCGCTACATTCGACTGCGCCACCTACGTGAAAGGACGACTATGGCCACTTCAACCACATCAACGAAATTCTCTTACCACACGTCCTCCCAACTGCAGCCGACGGCAACGGTGTATCCCAGCAGGAAACGCTCGACCGCGTACAGCTCGGATCGCAAGAGCCTGTCTACACAACAACAACGTTGATGTTCTCCCCTGGCCCTCCAGATACCCGTATTTGAATAGAGGACCTGACACCCGATGGAGGACTTGTGGTATGAATTGGACGTCAACAACAACCCCGGGCGTTGCAGCAGTTGGCTTTTGCGTTGCAGATCGATCGATTCATACGGGGAACATACGCGTTATTGATGGTAGCTGACCTTCACTTTGGACTTTTCCTGTGTAACGATAACTGAGATGACTGCAAGTGTTCTCTCCACAACAATTTGGCTCAATACCTTGTACGGTTCCTCGTATAAATGTTTTTTTCTACCTCACACAAATCTGGCTTTGCGTTTTTGTTTTGAAGTGTATACTACTATTGATAACAGTCACTTTTGTGAGCGAATGTTTACAACTCTGGTGACTAAGTGAATGTTTACAAGTTGTAGATAAGAAGGCAGAAACGGAAGTGGGGCTGCCATATGCCAGTACTAAAATGAAACTTAAGTTCTGTGATACATATACTTGTGGGGGTAGACGGGCCGTGTTGTGAGTACATACAGTGAGAACTGTCGGTTGAGGATATACTCATCATCACAAAGACTGCATTATACCATTTACTGTTTCTATGCATTGCACTCTTTTCATAACGTACTATTTACCATAGGTATTCCTTAACAAGTGCTGGGCAAAGATTGTACATCAACTAGATAAGTCGAGGGGCGTTCTGTTAAAGAGTGTATAAGTACTAACAACCTTTGGCTTTGAATACACAATGCCATTTAAAAAGTGGTCAAATGTAACATATGTTATATTTGGGATAACACTTTCTTAGTAAAGTACAGATTCTAGTACTTTATTGAGTTGAGTCCCCTCCGGGATTCATACCCACACTTGCCAGAGTGAGGGACCTTATCGCCAGCACACAAAGTCAGCGATCTAACCCACTCAGCCACCGAGGCTTCCACAAAAAGGAAAGTCCGACAACTGGTAGTCTAGATCATGTACTTAGAGTAGCCCTCTAAGTGTAAATTGGCACGGCTCCAATGGCTGAAAGCTATGAATACACAATGCCATTTAGAAAGTGGTCAAATGTAACATATGTTATATTTGGGATTTGGGATTCGAATCCCGGACGGGACACAACTAAAAAAAGTACTAGAATCTTTACTTTACTAAGAAAGTGTTATCCCAAATAAAACATACGTTACAGCCTTTGGCTTGACTCTAAAAACATGCATACACGTCCATTCCTCTGTTGATTCCAAAGCTCTATAAACATGTAGACGAAGAGACACATATTGTAGGGACCAGCAGATGTACCACCAAATCTGTCTCAGAGATAAACCATAATATTTAATACAATCAAGAAAGGATTTTCTTCATATTCATTGTCATTGTCGGTAGGCATATTTAGATGATTATATCTACAATTACAGGTTACAAAATGCATAGATGCGGTTACTACAATATTCAAAGGATGTGTGGCAATACATTTCGTGCAGAAGACACGACAGAAATCAACAAAGGGAATGTATTTGCGTTTTGGAGACAACAGAGAGTTTGGAATATATACGACTGTGACGTCATATTTTGTGTGTCACAATGAGCGATATGACGTCATAATGGTGACGTGCGATGTAGAGCGAAAGCCTTGCAAAGCTTGCTTTGTTTTCTTTAGGGATTCACACCTCATGTTAGCTTACCAAGTTGCCGTGCTTATATGCTTTAATGCCCGTCATATGTTCGAGTGAAGTATTACGGTGTAAACTGCTTGAGTATATACAGCACCATATTTTGTTCGGTGATTCCGTAATTCAGATCGATAACCCACTCAAAACACTAAGTTCAACCCATGCCGCTTCACTCAATATGTTTGCTAACACCAAAGTGTTCGCGTTTTATTTAGTCATGGTAGAATGGAGATCACGCTCCGCGTTCGGTTACAAATTCAATTTATCGGGGTTAAATCTACAGGTAACCTAGCTCTACAATGAAAACACAGTATGTTTATCTCCAAATAACGGTCATGGGGCCACTAATTTATCTGCCAGAACCACAAATAAAGGAGACCAGTTAGACCGCCTCGTCTTGTTCCTATTTAGAAGGGGCGGTCGGGTAGCCTAGTGGTTAAAGCGTTGGCTCGTCACGCCGAAGACACGGGTTCGATTCCCGACATGGGTACAATGTGTGAAGCCCATTTCTGGTGTCCCCCGCCGTGATATTGCTGGAATATTGCTAAAAGTGGCGTAAAACCATACTCACTCACTCACTCACTCCCATTTAGAAATGCGCATAAAAATTCAGAGTGACAGAAAGCTATCCACAAGAGGGATGATTTCAACTGTTCAATAGTCTGTCCTTCCATTCGTTCATTCGTTCGTTGATTGACTGTGTGAGTGAGTGAGTTAGTGTCACAGGCAGCAATTTCTGAGCAATACCTTGGTCTTAAAGTTTTGAAACGTAGTCAACGCTTAGGACAGGCTCATTTGGTGACTGGGATCCAAGGGTACCATATTTCTGGAAACGTGAACTCTTACACACAACAAAATGATTCATCACAGATTCAACGAGCATGCAACAGAGGTCAAGACTACAAGATTCTATCACAGGACAGTAGGTTGTTTAGCTGATGACTATTACATAAGTGCTTCCTACCTGATGACTGCCAGAGGAGCGTGAGAAATACAGCCACAACGCGAGACTCCATAGTGTTACAGTCCTACCAGGAAGACAGTCCTACCAGGAAGTGAGTTACTACAGTGCGTCAACTACTCTACTTGATCACACTGTCAGACCGTCGTAGGTAGTACCTATGACCCTCATTGCGTTACCGCACAGCATTGTGTTATTGAGATGCTATATGTTAACAACAGGTGCGCTCCCTGACGAGCGACACACACAATGTACTGTGTTGTCACCTCAGCCCGAGCTATACAAACCAGCAACATCTCAACTGAATGTTATATGTATGTGTACACTCGTCTGCCCTTGTGTTGATCAGTCAATAAGGCTCAATGTTATCATGTTTAAATAACTGTTAATCTTCATCGACGTAAATGCGGGGCTGTGAGTTTGGATGGAGACTTTCTATTTGTTCAGCTGCATCAGCAAAACCAAATATGTTTTAATAAAAACTATGAGTCTAAATGTTATTTTACAGAAAATAGCTTGCAACAATGTATTTTCAACAGTCAGAAGCACACATATTTTTTTCCAGAATTTGCTGGACAATCTCAAAGTTTCGATGAAATCCCAGCATCTCAACCCCAAACCCCAAACCCCAAACCCCAAACCCCAAACCCCAAACCAACCCTTACCCACGAATATCAAATGGTCGGTCCCTCATTTACTTTAAGTCAATGCCTACCGTGGCCATTAGAAACGTCCAAATAAGGATATATTTGTGGATTTGCTGGTCCCGCAATCAAAGTAATCTCACTTCGTTGTATCTCCTGCCTGGCATGTTTTGTTACTAGTTTTGATTAAAGAGCACGCCCTTAACAACCGTAAACTGTTATAAAACAAAATGCAGATATGAGATAAATATGTGTAGATACATATGGGATAAACGTCTGTTTGTGTGTTGTTCGATGGGTTGCAGTTGTCAATGACACTTAGTACACGTAATATACGACCTGTATACGTGTAATTAAACATACAAGCTACATAACTTCCTCCATAAAAGTAGATACAATGAACTGAAGTAGTTTACTTCAGCAGTGAGCGGTGAGGTTGGTGCTGTGGAAAGGAAAGTTGACAGATGAAGTCATGTGCCACGCCCTTATCAAGATCTACTTTAGGCAACCGAGGACTGATATATGGGCACGCTGAAGTGCATTTTAAATCATGTGATACAGATCAAGTAGTCGGTTTGTTTCAATATATAACAAGGACCTTATACCACACGTCTTCCAACTGGAATACATAATTATAAACTTAATTGTCGATAGAATTTCAATAATTCAATGTTCTCACGGCAAGCTTATGCGCTTGAGCCAAATAAACTTTGGTCAAGCCAAACTATAGCCTGTTTAAAGCTGTAAAAAACTAACATATAAATAATATTCCACCAGGTAAATTGAGCAGTAGGTGACACACTATAGTAACTCACTTCCTGGTAGGACTGTAGCACTATGGAGGTTGGGGCTGTGGCTGTATTTCCTCAAATTACGTCACTGAGTAATTGACACGATACTAACTCACTTCCTGGTTAGGGCTGTAACACTGTGTAGGTAGGGGTGGTAGCTGTATTTCTCTCAGTCCGCAGGTAGGTGGAACTTATGTAATTGTCATGAGTAACTTTCCCCTTGTATTGCGCAATATCCCAGTTGCTACAGCATTTGGTGTTTATATTTCACAAATTCAAGATACACCCGAGCATGCTCTTTCTACCGTCATGTCAAGGTTACAACATTCAAGGTGTTGATAAAGCTTTCAAAACGTTTGATGGTAGACATGTTGAGGACATTTCCAAATTTGACGCATCAGTGACAAAAAATTATGTCTGATGCAATTCCCTATTTTGTCTTGTACCAAATGTTCACGTGCTTTTTCAGGTGAACAATTGACTTGCCTTTGCATGTGTTTATGATTGGTGCACTGGGTGGGGAAGGTTATGCTCACCTTTTCGCAAACACCTGCGATCATTACTATTTGACAGTGATTCATAAACACATGCTCATGATATAGTCGGAATCGTACATTAGACTCTGCTTGATGCAGAGATTTCTATTGGACATGGAAATGCATTTGTCGCTTTATTTATATGTTTTAATATTTTTGGTGAGCAAAACGTGATAATAGATTAATACAAAAGCAGTGTTTGTGAATCATATCTAATCTAAGCCGAATAATAAATATATATACATGTTCAAATGTGTTTTCTGTCAATTGTGTAGCGAATTAATGAAAAGAAGATTCATCGTAACTTTTCATTCAGTCAAATTAAGTTATTTATACACAATCACTTTGCTGGAAAGTGATATTTTCGCTCTGAGAAATTACCGAAAAGTCATTCACCCCCGTTTGGGGGAACTGTCATAAAAGGTAGATGAAGATACCTAAAACAACTGAATATAGATAATATGGACTTGATCAAATTAAATCAAGTTAGGCAATAACACCGCTGTAAATATATTTTCAAAACTCTGATTTGCCATCAAATAGAAACGGCTTCACTGTAGAAAGGAATTTAACTTTGCAGGACGTGTGACGGAAGGGGATTATAATGTTTAATGTAAGCAATAGTGGACAAAAATGAAAAACTTAAACCTGGTTAGTGACAAACTAATGCAGACACACAGAACAACAGATAAAACCACCTAAAGATTACACCAGCCTTGCAACAAAATCACAATGTGAAAACCTTGCACAAAATGTTCTGTTATTAAAACAGTTCATTATTGAAGTCATTTTGGACGCTGTTATCTTCTCATGACTGGCTGCAAGGGTCCTGTCACAGGTTCAAATCTTTGTTCTGCCAGCACAATACGACCGAAGTGGTAGCCCACATAACGATAACAATGGCGATATAACCAGGTTCCCACAAGTGCTTACACGTAACAATAGTGTTGATACCAGGTACCCACAGGTAACAATATTGATGATACCAGGTACCCACACGTAATAATGGAGGTACCCAGGCGTAACAATAGTGTTGATACCAGGTACCAACACGTAACAATATTGATGATACCAGGTACCCACACGTAATAATATTGATGATACCAGGTACCCACACGTAATAATGGAGGTACCCAGGCGTAACAATAGTGTTGATACCAGGTACCAACACGTAACAATAGTGATGATACCAGGTACCCACACGTAATAATATTGATGATACCAGGTACCCACACGTAATAATGGAGGTACCCAGGCGTAACAATAGTGATGATACCAGATACCCACACGTAACAATAGTGATGATACCAGGTACCAACACGTAACAATAGTGATGATACCAGGTACCCACACGTAACAATAGTGATGATACCAGGTACCCACACGTAACAATAGTGATGATACCAGGTACCCACACGTAACAATAGTGATGATACCAGGTACCAACACGTAACAATAGTGATGATACCAGGTTCCCACACGTAACAATAGTGATGATACCAGGTACCCACACGTAACAATAGTGATGATACCAGGTACCAACACGTAACAATAGTGATGATACCAGGTACCAACACGTAACAATAGTGATGATACCAGGTTCCTGCATGTAACAATAGTGATGATACCAGGTACCCACACGTAGCAATAGTGATGATACCAGGTACCCACACGTAGCAATAGTGATGATACCAGGTACCCATACGTAACACTAGTGATGATACCAGGTACCAACGCGTAACAATAGTGATGATACCAGGTTCCTGCATGTAACAATAGTGATGATACCAGGTACCCTCACGTAACAATAGTGATGATACCAGGTACCAACGCGTAACAATAGTGATGATACCAGGTACCCTCACGTAACAATAGTGATGATACCAGGTACCCTCATGTAACAATAGTGATGATACCAGGTACCAACGCGTAACAATAGTGATGATACCAGGTACCCTCATGTAACAATAGTGATGATACCAGGTACCAACGCGTAACAATAGTGATGATACCAGGTACCCACACGTAACAATAGTGATGATACCAGGTACCCTCACGTAACAATAGTGATGATACCAGGTACCCTCACGTAACAATAGTGATGATACCAGGTTCCCACACGTAACAATAGTGATGATACCAGGAACCCACACGTAACAATAGCGTTGATACCAGGAAGCAACACGTAACAATAGTGTTGATACCAGGTTCCCACACGTAACAATAGTGATGTTACCAGATACCGACACGTAACAATAGCGTTGATACCAGGAAGCAACACGTAACAATAGTGATGATACCAGGTTCCCACACGTAACAATAGTGATGATACCAGGAACCCACACGTAACAATAGCGTTGATACCAGATACCCACACGTAACAATAGTGTTGATACCAGGAAGCCACACGTAACAATAGTGTTGATACCAGATACCCACAAGTAACAATAGTGATGGTACCAGGTAACCCACACGTAACAATAGCGTTGATACCAGGAAGCAACACGTAACAATAGTGATGTTACCAGATACCCACACGTAACAATAGCGTTGATACCAGGAAGCAACACGTAACAATAGTGATGATACCAGATACCCACAAGTAACAATAGTGATGGTACCAGGTAACCCACACGTAACAATAGCGTTGATACCAGGAAGCAACACGTAACAATAGTGATGTTACCAGATACCCACACGTAACAATAGCGTTGATACCAGGAAGCAACACGTAACAATAGTGATGATACCAGGTACCCTCACGTAACAATAGTGATGATACCAGGTTCCCACACGTAACAATAGTGTTGCTACCAGATACCCACACGTAACAATAGCGTTGCTACCAGATACCCACACGTAACAATAGTGTTGATACCAGGAAGCCACACGTAACAATAGTGTTGATACCAGATACCCACAAGTAACAATAGTGATGGTACCAGGTAACCCACACGTAACAATAGCGTTGATACCAGGAAGCAACACGTAACAATAGTGATGGTACCAGGTAACCCACAAGTAACAATAGTGATGATACCAGGTAACCCACACGTAACAATAGCGTTGATACCAGGAAGCAACACGTAACAATAGCGTTGATACCAGGAAGCAACACGTAACAATAGCGTTGATACCAGGAA